CTTCCCATAATATAGGGCCTTTAATGGGTCTCTATCACTGCATTTACCCGTCTTGTCGAATGAAATATTGTATATCAAGGAGTCAAAGCTATATCGTAAATTCTTCAGGTGGTAAGATTCAATTGGTAGGTGGCCCTGCTATAGACCCCTTATCAGTTCTTATCAATTGCTATCAGTTCCTGTCAAAGAATACCTACGTCATCGTCACATCCTCCATCACCTGATGAAATGCTTAGGTTCCACTGTTACTATGAAGGACGTTACATACTAGTGGCTCTAACTTTCTGTGAGTCTGTGTCAGCCCTTATCGCATCGCTTGTTATCAGTCATTGTCACCAATCACCTACGGTACATTCACATCCTACACCATCTACTAAAGTGCCAAACTTTCACTGTTGACACAAAGGACGTTATAGATCTAGTGGCCTTCTATGGCGCGTTACCAAATAATTGTTGTCAATTCACCAAACATCTACCGTCTCTTTTTAACCCACCTCCCCTAATGAAGTGTCAAGGCTCGGCGCTTCGTTCCGCGCGTCCGCTAGATGTCGGTGACGCCGCAGCCGTCGCACGCGAACGTCGCAGTTGTCAGTGAGACTTACGATTTGCGTTCGCTCCACGGCAGCCAGCTTAAAGACACAGTTTCCCTATAGTATGAATTTGAGGCTCCCCCTTATACCATACATGCCGTTATAAGGTCGAAAAACGACCTGGAGTGGGCACAATAGAGGGTCAGACATTATATCGTGTGAATGCCACACCCGTAATGGACAAGACGAAACAACGGCTTTGTAGAGGCTGTACTATCTCAAGAGACTCCCATGCAGGAAGATTAAACAACTTGTCATAACCCATAGAGAAAGTGAATGATAGTTTCGGACAATTTCGGCTTCATGTAGTCATTTCTTTGTGCAATGGGGCAAGTTGAATCTCGTACAAACACTGCTTACATGCCATTTAAGTCACGGTGATCTCGTACTACCTCCACTTCCACTACTTTTAAAAAACCTCTAAGTAGGCGGATTTTCCTCATTTTTTCGCCACCGATGCACTCCTCTACATCTAAAAATCTGTTTTTGAAGCTGAAAAGAGTATTTCCAAAGTATCGCGAACTGCGTCTTTTAAGAGAAGATGAGATGGATTAGAGCAAATCATTGCTCTACTGATGCCTAGTGGTACTGTAATGTCATCCGAGATAAAGGGTGCACCGAGGCGGGCCGGATGACCTTGTTTCCATGGACGCACGAAAGGGACGTCCCCGAGACTCCACAGTCACCACGAAAGAGGTAACGATCCTGCGGCTGTTGTCTTCCAAGGCTCCTGAACAACTCCCATCGATTATTACCACCTATCATTAGTCCCATCTTGTATCCCTTCCAAATTCGAAGGGTTCAGGCCTAGGGGACAGGGGTTAAATTTAGGTCAACCATTTCTTTCGCGCACGCCTGTCCACCTTGTGGGGGAGTCTTAATATCATCTACCACAGGTTTTTCTATCCCGCTGTAGATACTTCTACCCAATTCAAACGCTTCAGGCAAACGGTAACAGAAGTTATGAACTTACGGTTGAACATTTCTTCCGCGCAAACTACGTCCACTGTGGGCGGAGTCTGGGCCTGCCACATGGCATATGTATGTATTCTTATCCTGCCGCCTGTACTACCAGTTTGCACGTTCTGCGCCTATCGAGAGCGGAGTTATGGAGTTCCAGTCAAACACACACACCGACAAACCAACAGGCACACTTTGCGAATTATACATATACCCGACAAATCGCCCGGCTAATACCGGGCTTCCCTCGTTCTTATGACAGAGTTGTAATAACCGGCCATTTCGCGCTCTCGGTAACAAATGATACTATATTGAACGCGAAATTTGAGAGAAGACTAACATGGCATGCAAATGGTATCTATAATGCGCCGATCCTTATACTCATGATTAGAAGACCCGATCTGTTACTGATCATCTTAAGAATAGTTACCCAACGAAGGTTCAACTGAAGGGCATCCAAAGCGTTAGGGGTATTCACAAATGTTGCCGAGCCATAATAACACCATTATCAGATGCCTTTAACAATAAAGCTCCCTTTTTCTGCGCATACATTATTAGATGAGAATCCGAGATTATTCGCGGTCAAACATTTTTTGCCAATGATATCGAAACAAAGAGGAACCGTGATTCTTCATTGAGTAACAAACTTAACTAAGCGGTCGCAATCTAATAACAAGAATGATCAATTTCCATCTCCTCACAGTTTAGTACCCTTGAACGGCCCATATCGCTGCACTTATCTTTCTTGCCAAATTGAACATATCGAAGAATCAAAATAAGAACGTAAATAACAGAGGCATTAGGATTTAATTGGTGAGTGGTTTCTAGAACCTCTTCTATTGTCTGTGTTCCCATCTGCCTCCTCTACTCCCAATTTTGACTTTCAAAGTCCACAGGGACAGGAGTTACGATTTTCCGATCGGACACAGACTTACACTCACATACACAAGCACATAGACATTAGCGCGTTACATGTATAACAGTCGGATCGAATGTATATAGTAAGATAGTAGGAGAATATGACATCTTCCATGTATGATAAACTTATAAGGCAAACTAGGCTTCTAACAAAAAAGCAAAGAAAAAGTAGAATAGACAAGAGTCTCCGAAAATTCTAATCTCGTGTGAGTGCTGGTAATCTATGGCGTAGAAGCCATTCAGGAGGAGAGCACAAGTGGGTTTCGGTAAAGAGAGGGATGAGGGCATGGTGCCCGGAAAGCGTAGGTACGGATTGGAGGCCTGTCCGAGACTAAGTGTTTTCCACAAATCGTCAACCTTGGGAGGCATTCGGAACGCGTACAGCGGCGAAATAACAACAGTTGATAAAAAACATGAACCCAAAAACAGCAAAAAATCTTCGGTCATTCGTATGATGATGTTGAGTTAATTAAATATTAACATTACTAGAGTAGGCAATAATGTACTCTAGCTAGAGCTATACTTATGGTGGTTACATGTACCACTTGTTCACCTGGTCATTATATGCGTGCTCATTTATCGTTGAAAATTACTTTTATGCTTCTCTTCCTAACTATTGCGTCAGAACAGTACATAAGGTCGCTATCCGAACTTTCACTGGTCGCCATCAACGCAACCTTCACGGCACAGTTCACGATAATTTTGGGTAATCCAGGTTATGATGAAAAATGGAAGACAAGATCGAAAATAGTGTGATGAAGGTGAACAAACTGCGTGTAACGGTGTTTCCAAAGTGAAAAAAGCCTCGAAAAACCGTTAAAAAGGGGGCTGGACGACAATGAGACTAGAAAAATGAAGAAGAGTGGGGCGTTTGGACGAGCTATACAATGCGTTTCACTGCAGTCGTGTGAGTCCTGGTGCGAATAACAGACTATGGAAAGCGAAAATTCATTCACTTATAAGCATAAGTAAACAAAAAAACCGGCACTATTTACCCTTTACTGCCCCGCTTTGTCGAGAAAATGCTGGACCGAAAAAACCTATAACAGCAAAAGTTGCTTACCTTCTTCAGCCACTAGGAGTAGGAAATTAAATAAGCAGCGGCAGCAAAAAGAATAACAGAAGAAAAAAGAATGGGAGAAAAACATCGCCTCATCAATCGGCGATGAGCAGATTGTGTATGGGTCCTAGAACGAATAGTTGCAGTCTGTATTGTCTCACACTCGTCTGACCGCCTGACGTAACATCGATCGAGAGGCGGGAAGGCCATTGACGTTCCCGCCCATTGAATTATCGTGAACTGTGCCTTTAATAGTGTTAACAGCCAAAGTCAAAGGTTTCCTTATTTGGTTATATATGGAAGTAACTAAGCACTTCTTCGTTCTTATTAGATAAAAAAATAGTGCATTTCAGAGGGTGTCACCGCAAGAAGCACTCAGCCAAGGGAAGTTTCCAATCAAAATAGCCGGCAAGTCAACTGAGAGCTTAAAGGTTCAGCCCACGATAACTTTGTGTTACCCCTTTTTAGTCGAAAAGCAAAAGTGTAGGCTGGGATTAGTTCATCGGCAGTGAAGAAAGCGAGAAAACTCGCCGATTCCGAGAAAAATAAGGTTCTCAAAGGTAGGCGTCACCGGAGTTGGACGAGACGTGACGGAAATCACATGGAAGGGGTATTCGGATGAAACTTCAGTTGTTGCAATTGCACGCAGAGCTGACTGCAACAAGCAACAACTGCACAGAACTGGCTTTTACTGTCGTTATTGGTCATGACGAGTTGTTTGATCTCCCAACACCCTTGCGACTGATGCCGCCTCCACAGTGACGGTGAAACTCGTCCGAGGTACACACGGCACAATCTTTGAGCCTTTATATCTATCCCTATCTAGGCCGTTTGAGGTGTGACAGCGCCACATACGGCACACGGGATTCTACAAATTCATTTGAATGGAATATCTCAAAAGTCATTTTTATCGTGAACAGTGCATTTACGGCACGTTTCACGTTGAAAATGGTTTTCGAGATTAGTCCGTAAGATTAACATATGCCCCCACCCTCCATGAACAGCCTAAGGTACGCTGCTGGGTCGAAAACCGTCAAGATAGTACGTAGTAAGGGTTTCGCTTACAATTAGTCGACGTAAACACACAAGGACGGGTTCTCAGTACGTAATAAGGGTTTCGCTTAAAATTAGTCGACGTAAACACACAAGGACGGGTTCTCACGGCGCTGCAGAGGCTGTAGAGGTTGCACAAATCGGACCGCGACGCTCACGTTGCAGCCAAGCTTACTGGAGCCAGCTAAGCGGAATGACGCACACATTTGGACAGCTCATCCAAATACCTCTTTATGCAACTTTTGTCGTTACATTCTCGTTCAACCCCTGGTTTTACCTCTCTTTTGAAGCCTTACATCTCTCTAAACGCCAATTTTCGCGTTTTCTTCGCATTTTTTGCACTATTCTGGACTAGTACTCTCGTTGCTTGTCTGATAAGAAAAAAAAAACCCAAAATTATTGTGAACCGTGCTTCTGAGTCAAAGAGAAGTTTCTCTGAGAGGTAATACATTACCTGTTTTAATCTGGGACTTCAAATCCATATCAACGTAGTCATCGCTAAAAGGAGGATAACCACAAATTCCAGTGAACAAGACAACGCCAAGACTCCACCTGACAAAGTCAACTCAAGAATCAATCAATAAATCTGAAGAACTTACAGAATAACCTGTGCGTTTTACCTACATGTCCACTTTCGGATTATAAGGCAACCGATCGTTATCTATCATCTCAGGTGCCATGTAAGCTGGCGTACCACAATATGTTTTCAATGTCGAAGCCTCATTTCCTTTGGCAAGTCCAAAGTCAGCCAGCTAAAATTAGCACTAGGATTTTGAGCAACTAGAAAGGAAATCAAAACATGAAACTGCTTTCGGTTTTTTATATTTCATCCAGCTGCTTTCCTTATCCTTAAGAAAACTTAAACCGATCTTACTAAATGCACTTCAAGTAGCTCTTCTTTGCGTGCATTCAGTAAGGATGNTTCTTTTCGTTTTTTGGTATATGTCAGTTCAAAGTTACCTTTTCAAAAGTTGTATATACCACTTAATTCACTCACTAATTCACTAACTCAAGAATTTTCTATTTTGAGAATCGCAAAACCTTTTTCTAAGTGAAGATTCTGAAGCATAAGGAATGTTCAGGAATGGAATGCTTCGGTCATCATTTCATCGCGGTGGAACCGATGAACGACCTCAGATTAGGGATTACAGTCCTGCAGAAATTCAGCAGCTGGCTTGATTACATTTAATTTCCTATATAGTATGGCCCTCATTATAAGTACGCGTTATACTGGTGATTATGTCCACTTTTTTGGAAGCTCGCTTTTTAGAAGTGGTAGCTTACAGGACGCATCTATGCCGTTCGTTACGATTTCTTCCGTTTTGTCGGAATCTTTGTTCGAATGACTTCTTGGAAAGCGTCACGTTTACGACTGAATAGTGAATACCAATACCCTCCTGTCTTCCTACGCCAATCGATTTGTGTCGTGCTCTTTTTCTTCGTATTCATGCAGGATAGTGCCCCGATTCACGTCATCCGGGCCTGGTTTATTAGGCACCAAATCGACCTTTTATCCTGGCCGGCTAACAGCTCTGACTTGAATACAATGAAAAACGTACGGGGATTCATGTCAAAGAACATTTATGAAGGAAACAAGCAAGCTGATGTGGAGGCGTCAGCGAGGTGAAGAAAGCAATCGTTGATGCCAGGCACTAATCTGACTGGGAACCCATTGATAGCCTTTACTTTAGCTTGGACAATCGTGTTTTTTTGGCAATTCAAAGGAAAGGGGCTCAAATGATGATCAATCACGCTTTTTCCTCTCTTTTTATCATTTAGCTGCTTAATAAATTGATTTGGTAAGTGACTGTATCATTATGAAACATAGTCAACGTGAGTGTCTCTAAAAATAAAGGAAAAACTGTCTATGTTCTTGAGTGGAACTTGCCGTTGGTCTACAGGGTACTGAGGACACTGTGCGAATATGCACACTTTCCACACTGAGATTTTTCCTAAAAAGGACCGGAACGTGATTTTTGGTGGAATTCATAGGTTGCTATATAACTATTACGCACGGAATAGATAGACATGCTTCCAGGTGCTATTCTCAAATCTGCTTTCCAAATTTGCCGAACGATTCTCCCAATAGAGTAATGGAGGTGATTTTAGCTGAGATAATCATAAGCGGACAGAATTTACATGGATTTACCAGGTTCCTTAGCGGCGGCTCGAAGTTTCTCCCGTACAGTTCCCCTTGATAATATTGAATATACAACAGTACACATTTTTGAGTAGAATGCACTCATGTGGGTCCAGGATAGATCGGTAGCGAGGAGTCAAGCTATTGGCTTCATCATCAACTAACAAGCGAATATATATACACATAAATGAATATATATATATATATTATTTTCATTTTCAATTGCGGTTCGATATGATAGCGAACTATTCACCCTCAGAGGTTTAAAATCAACATGGTTTTCAACGAAAGATCAATGACACTTTTAGGTGCTTGGAGGCCCAATCTTCAATTCTCCTAAAGCCGGAGGCAAAAACTCGGAGAAATTAGAAAATTCAATATTCATCTACACTCTTAATAAGTGGAGTTTTCAGCTGATTTCATTTACAATTTGATTGGAGCATTGCCGCAAAAGTTATGGCGAAGCGAAGAGTGGTTGATCACGAATCGCACTAGCAGGACTAGCATTGCTAGATTTGTACGTAAACCTACGATGTTATAATAGTTCAAGAAATATATAGTCATTTTCGGGCAGTTCTGTGTTCATTTAAAATAATTCAAGATTCTCGGCATTCTCATAATGTAGATGAACGCTGAATAGCAAAGATTGAGAATATTCGTTGCACCTTAACGAGTGTGTAGTCTTCTTTCGTCATACACAAGATGTTTTCCGGCTTGATGTCGCGATGTGTAATTCCACGCTCATGAAGATACTAAATCGATAAGAACTCAAAAATACAAGGTAGTTTAACATAATAAGTGATACCAAGACTAAGGAAGTCTAACACTAGTCACCTCCACAGCATTGAGAAGTTGCCATCCATAAAATTTGCACAGTTCCTCACCGAATCCCTGAACGACCTATTCACAATTTTAAAAAAAGATCCTCACCTCCTGCGTAGATTAATTTGCATTCTTTGAAGCAGAAGAAAAGTAGCTGATGGAGTGGCAAGTATTAAATAGTGTAGGCATTGTTTGTCTGAGAGCTTCATTGAAAAATAGCAACAATCATTGGTGTAAGCGAATGACATGCGAAGTCCTGGACACAAAAGACGGATCAGGGCCCATTGTCGAATTATTACTATGCTCACTTCAACTGTGAATGCGCTCGAAATTGCCAAGAGGCATCAACCACTCTCAACTTTTGAGTTACTTATCGAGATTGCTACCTGGAGAAAACAAAAACTGATTATGAAGAACAATCAAAGTGTACGTCAACAAAGCGATAATAAAGTTGTTATTGATAGGTCCATATAAACCCATCCTTGCACAGCAATTACCTGCACCATCTTCTCTTGATGTTTTTGGATGCCCTTCAGGCCTACCGCTAACGTCTACTTTGCCTAGAAGCTTTGCCGTTCAGCATGTTAGCTTCTGGATCTCGTTCAGCTGGAGTGTTCAGAGATGCTTCTTTCGCGATAGCATTAAAAGAGCATCATTCACCAGTCCGTTTCTCATGAACATGGTCTTCGTCAAGTTCAGTCTTGAGCAGAAGTTTTCACAAGTTTTGTCGAATTCGGCCAGCATCTGTTCGCTGTTATGCGAGCGAAGCTGTCAGCGAAGAAGAAGCGGTGTAAGTAGCGTCCGGTAATCTTTGCTCCCATATCTTCCTATTCGTTCCAAATGACGCATGATGTTCTTGAGAGCGGCACTGTAGAGTTCAGGCAAGGTGATACAGCCGTGCCGGACCAATTTCTTTGAGCAGTCAATGACTTCGTTGTAGAATGTGAGATCGCGGTCGTGATGTATAGCTCGCGAGGCATTTTCCAGCACTGGGCAGGACACTCCAGCTAACCGAGATCGTTATCGCTTCTTTATCGAAAGATGCTCACTTTTCTTCTGTATCAGAGGCCTTCCACGAATCGATGGACGGCAGATCTAGCGCGATTGATTGAACTGAATCCTCTTCGAAATTGGCATAACGGCCTTTCATAGAGTATCCTACCAGAAGAATGACTGTTGTGACAAGATTATAGATTACAGGCAACATGCAAATTGGGCAATAGTTGGTGATTCCGTCCGGGTCCCCCTCTCACACAGCTAAACAAAGCTGCTTCATTTGCGCGACGTGGGAACGCTGCATTTTATTAGGTACCGTGTGAGCTGAGGGAAAGCCCTTCAATGCCATCGTGCGATCTATCGGAACCGAGAACCGTGCGACTCTTCATCGACGTGATAGCATGATCGAATACGAAAGGAAGAGCTGAAGGCACGACATATCCGTCTTGCCGAAGATGGTAGGTGAGCAGGTAGATAGGGTTCTCGAAGAGACCTGGATGGATAACTTTCTTCATTGTCTCTAAAAATGGAGTAACTGTGCCGTCAGGACGACGAATAGAAATAATATTGATATTGTATGGTGATACTCTATCGGGCTTCACGAATGTTATTCCTGAGCTAGGCTGCTACGGCACTGCTGCTCTTCTCTTCTTCAAATCTTCCTTTATCGTTTCTCTTCATAGCCTCGCAAGTTCGGACGTTTGTTAATGATTATCTGCAGCTCGCGCGACTCGATGCAGTCTCTTGTCAGCTCACAGACTCTGTTTTTCAAGCACGATGCCAAACGAGATGATTGCTTTGTGATCATTGCTTTGTTGGTAATAGGATATTATCATAAACTCGCAAGGTAAGCAAAGCGATCCCAACTTATGGTGCTTCCATAAACTTCGCAGTTCTCAATTGACGCACTGAAAAAATTAATTAAGCGCGGATGATCCGATCCCNCCCGTGTAGAGCAAAGGAACTATAGCGACGCCAGTCAGCAAAACATTCGGTTGAAGGTGGTGTGATCTATTTCATGATGAAATGTTTACTTAGACACCCCATGTCCATCAAGAATGAGAGGGCTTCAGGAACTGCGAGTTACCATAGATGGTGTGGGTCGACTGATAAACTGTAAGCTCTGTTTCATTCCACTCCACGAGTACCGATGTGAAGCACCCCAGCTTTTCTTTTGGGTTAAATCGGCGTTGGAATCACCGACGATGAATGACCCCTGTGAAAAAATGGTCCATGGTGCTTTCCAAGTCCACATGAAACACTTAGACCTAAGCTTCTTCACTGTTCGATCTTAACGCGCAGGCAACGAAAACTGCTCGAGTTGGGGTTGAGCCACATCTTCTCGATGCAAAGTCCGATCAAAATTGCCAAGTTTTTGTACGAATCGATGTTCATGGTCAACTGTGCATTAACGAGGACATCTACACCACTTCTGCAGTTATGTGTTCCAAAGTTTAGTCCTTCTCCGGCATCGAAAACTGCACNCAGCGGACGATGTCTTCTCGTCTCGGTAAGCCCGATGACCTCACACTTGACCTTCCTGGCTTGCATCATCAGCTCTACTTCCTATAGCGCTGGTGCATTGGAAGAACAAACGCCATCTTAGTCCTTTTTTTGGGCAAATCTCAGATTTCCTATAGCCCTAAGATTTAGGCAGCTTCTCCCTGGCGATAAACGGCTATTTTTTTACCCAACGCTGGTGTACTAGGGATCCAATAAGGTTGAAAAGGGTGGGGCTTATCTGCACAACTGTTATTGGCATATGTTTACTTAAGAGTAACTTCACAGGTTATCTTATAGTGGACAAGGAATTAATTGATTCATTGAAGGTAGCCCCGAATAGCCTCCCAGTTACTCGAATGCAAGTTTTTGGCTGAATCGATGGGCAGGGTAACAACAGCACTCGCAGACTATCCAACACGCAGACGCATGTGTGCATATACCTGCGGAAAAGGTATAAATCGACTCAACAGCTGGATCTACCAACGTCTCTCAGCGAGTATCAATGACTTTTGATTCGCGACTCAGTCCGTTGCCGTCACCAAGAATCGCGCTACGTGGCCTCGCCACTAAACGGCAAGAGTGAGTAGGCCATGGTGTTTCAGCGAGAAAGCCACGGTGAAAAATGATGGTGGGTACTGCAATACAACATCCTTATTCTTATCATTCTATCAATCTATTATTTTGCCAAACCCACTAAAAGTGGTGCATTGGACCAATCGAGAAGCTGAGCCAACCAAAGAATGTACTGCTCGCAAAAAGCAAGACCGTGTTCAGCAAGGATGCAGCTCTGGCATCGGGTTGCGATTCGCAATATCGTTACTGTTGCATCAAGGGATTCTATCTCTAGCTCTGAGGGAACTGTATACTCTACTAAAAAGAGAATCGGATTTCTTCGCAACAGAGCTGGAACCTCATTGAGACAGAAGTTCACTACTTATGTTGACGCACCCATTCTTTGAAATTGGAAAGATTTTGGCGCCTCATTCAGGGAGCCTCGAGGGTTTTGCAGCACCGATTTTGGCGTCGTTACAGTGAGTACTTTTGACTATACTCATAACTACACTAAACCCTAGCCTGGAAGCAACAAAAAATTGAAAGTACGAGCAGAGTCCAATCTTCTGAGCATGCCCAAATTGAGCGAAGCCCTGCCCGCATTGACGGTGCACACAATAGGAACGTACTCTTCGAAAAATTTCGAAACTCAGTTCGAAATGTCGTGAACTCCGAAACAAATAGTTAGGCGTTAAAAGAAGGAATGGTCTAGTCTTTATGGTGCAACTTCTGAGTCCAAGTGCACTTTTGGCAAACTCCGCCGCGCTTCCGTGGTTTCCAGATGAAATCGTTTTTCGCCATCACTGCTCTTGTTGAAATTACTGAATTTACCCTTGTACCACGAGCTGTTTGTCAAATAAAGTAGACAAAATGAATCATGAGAGGCACGAGCACTTAAGAAATCTAGTACAAATTGGCTCCAGTTCTGAGAAGATCTGGTGTCCCCTAAGAAATAAATCTTTTGCAATGTTCTGAAAAGCAAAAACCCAAAAAACTACATAGCTTCTAGTTTCAAGGTCAGAATGAACTTATACAGCATCAAATTGAAAAACGGTGTTATTTGCTCGAAAATTACCATTCCATTCCATTTCTCATCTACGATTCGATCGAAAAGCTCGCCGCCACCCACAAGCTCCATGACTATGTATGCCACGTTATCCGTCTCAATCCAGTCCATGAATTCGACGCAGTTCGGCTACAACGGATTCATTCTACTGAATGCTTCATAACTTTTGGAGCTCTGAACGGAATATAAAGAATCAGCGGCTTTGCCTGTTTTTTGTAAAACTGCGACATCCATTGATAAAGTTTATGATGTGCTAGTTTAAATTTCCTCAGTCATTCTGAACATCATGTAAGTAGAGCAGATAGTTCTGTTCTCTCTGAGCGTGTACTTAAGGCCTCATCCGATCAGTTTAGGATGTTTTTAACAACTCTTGAGCACCTATTCGGGTAGATTTGGTAGATGAAGAAACCTTCTGGGGAGCGATTCGTAAACAGAGAACAGGTAATAGAATACCTTCCAAAAATTCAACGATGAAAAACACAAGCAATTGATCTTAACGACAATAAAAACCAGACTTCAGTTGAGCAGCAAGGAACAAACCACGATTGACCTTCATAAAACCCAGTTGTGAAAAAGCAAAGAACAAAGACGACAGTGAATTCTAATCTTCGACATCAATTCAACAATATAACGCTACTGATTATCGTAAACTACTTTTGAGGAAGCACCCGGCTCAAAATAGCATTTGTATCCTAGAGTCGCTGAGGCAAGCGGCAAACAGCACTCCGGATGTTTTCTAACTGAAGGATATCCCCATATATATAGCTGATCTTTGAGAGCTCCAGTACTCTCTGCTCAAGTAGAAATTTCCGAACTCCTCAACGAACACGTGCGAGTCTGAACGCGATCAGGTTCCGTAGGAAACTTTCGCGTGGATAGACGTGACGCGAAAGACTTTGTTGCAGTAAGTGGAAAACTCCTAAAATATTCTCGAAGAATGTCATAAAGCAATGACAATCTAGAAATGTTCTTGAAAAGAGAATTTTGGCGGCTGTATCATCCAGAAGAATGGTCGACGATACCGCCATTCACATCGAAGCTCCCAGAATACGTACTGCAGAGGACACGGAGTTGAACGAAGTAGCATAGACCCGAGGCGAACAGAGATAACCAAACCGAATAGAGTGAAAAGGCGACCCGTACACAGGGAAATTGCCCCAGACTGCGGAGCAGCTGAGCGGTTCAACGTGCGCAGCTCTTATGACTTCCATCGATACGTTCGGAATGCTCTGCGTGCGGCTTGGTGCGGCGACCGCCATGGACGACAAAAGTGGTTTAAAAGTTTCTCGAGAAAAACGATTCAATCGAAAAGCATTGACGCGCAACTTTGTATCATACAAAGCCCATGATTCTGATCACTCTGACCAGGAGGATTTGGTCCATGTCAAAATTAGTCAAGTCTTCCGAGAGTGAACCGCTTTGTTTTTTTTTTCACACGGAATTTACATAGATTTTAATGATTCAGATGGAACTTTCACAGCTTACATTCACACAAGTTTTGTTGAAGTCAGAATTGTGCATGTAAATAAGCGTCAACCTTGGAAAGTTCACGAGAAATTTGAAATAAAAAGAAAGTTAACTAGAAATTTTGAACGTGCCTTACATGTTTGATTTTCAACATTATAGCCACTTCCTTTTCAACGTCCTTTGGCTTCGAAGACTTTCGACTGAAACGCCGTGACAACTGTGTCGTATCAAGTATCTTTACCGCCACCTGCTCCTGGCAGTTTTTTCTCAATCTTGCCAACAGAACCTATAACGATTCCCAGTGTAGTAAAGAGTACATCGGAGTTGAATATGAATGAAAGTTCATTTCGTAGAGTTCCCTAAGGCAAACTGCATCATCATGAGATCACAAATTGTCACGATTCGTGAGCTATGAACGTACACCAAAAACAATAGAGCGGCATTTGGTTTGAAGCAGTATGTGTATATGTGTATATATTGTGTGAATATATATATATATATATATATATATATATA